ATGAAAAGGTTAGTGTCCAGATGGATAGCTGGATCCATTCCTAACCCCAGGATGCCCGCTGACTCCTCTATAGTCGCGCCCCCGATGATAATCTCGTGTCCTTCTACCTGCATGGCGAAGGAGGCTTCGTGACCAGGAAATCAGTGCGTGTAGTGTCGGGTGAGTGAAGTTGCACATACTCGGGTGTAATGGCTTAACAGACTCGTGTCAGAGTCAATTGAACAGAGCGTAATAAGGCTCTGTAAACTTCCTCAAGGCGAAAATGAGGGAGGGCGGGTTGGATGGCGCGGCATTATATATTGTAGGTCACTGGCGCTTGTCGCGCTTCGCCGTGGGCGGGTCAGATGGCTTGTACTCTGATACAGAGACGGCGCATCAGACTTCGTAAAGCCCCCGGTACACGAAACGTTCATTTCCTCCTGACAGCAGCGTGCAGGCAGTCCGAATTTGAGAAGCATCGTTGTCTAGGCATCACGGCCACGCGTTCCTGTTCATAAGGATGTCGAGAATAATGCAGCGTTATCGGATGGATCATGACAATTCGAAGCCTCAGCAGCTTACATTGTCGTTTGGTATCTTTGCTGACATTGCTATTTCAGGGAACAATGCGAAAATGGACCAAGTTTATTCCCAGTGCAGAGACGCCCAGCAGGTGCCAATGTCGCCTTCCCACCACTTCTCTGTATGCTTTTCTTCCTGAAATCTACCTCGTCGGGCCACTCGTTCATTTTGTGTCTACAGGGCGAACTACGGGATAAGTATTGTAGGCCGTGGGAGGAATGGAGTGGCGATTCTACCGCTGAGCACAAGCAGCACTTTGTCACGCAGTGATTTCCAGAAATGGATATCCCCTTTCACCCAGATTTGGACCACTGGTGCGTTCCCGCGAAGTCAGAGCCACTCCTCCATGTTTCTGAACCTTCTCTGCGAGCTAGGTCTTCGCTCTAAGGTGCACACTTTGTCTACGCATCGTTGCTACTGCTGTGCCGTGTGTCTGGGACGCCAGCACGGCGTGTTTACATCTACATACCACGAGACGTCTCGCGCGGGAACAGCGTTTTGGACCACTCGGTCTCAATAGTTGCACGCTACTTGGAAGGGCGCATTGGGCCTTTTCGTCGCAAGTAAACGGATATACCTCCGCCCTGTCGCAAGCGTACGACATACGAAGACCATTTGCTTGATCGACATCTTGGAAATGACACAGCTACGCTCACTCCTGCTCGTTATGGTTGCTTCTGGCGCGCGATGAGCTGGCATTGTCTCTAAAGCATTTTTGTACAATCCTTTCGTTCTAGTATCAGACACACTGACCGTTCAACAGCCGCATTCATTCCGCATAATACACAACACCCTTTCAGACTTGCTTTTCAGTCCTCAGGGATGCAATCCACCTGTGCCTTTTCAAGCGCCACATCGCATCGTCAGGCTTCACCTCTAGCAATGTTAGCATCGGTGCATAAGGGAAAATGCACTCGCTGTGCCGTTTGTCGCCGCGTGAGCGTGCTGGCTTAGCGCACTGGACCCCTGTCTAGTATTTCCAGCTCTTATCAGTTCGGTACATGCTGATGCGGAACGAAGCGTCTTGGTTGCGGTTCCAGGGCCTCCCTTTTCTTTCCGCGAATATCTAGTCGCCTCAGCTTCTCGCTTCACTTCGAAGACGTGGCCACGTTCCCAGAACGATGTCAAGGAGAAGATTGGAAGAATCAATCACGCTGCGACCTGTCTATAACACTGTCCCCTATTTTTCGTCGCACCTGAGATACCACTATCAGGTCAATGCATCATATGCGAGTGCTCCCTACTCCCAGTTCCCTCATTTACACGGTTAGGCATGTGACGTTGCAGCACTTTAAAGGCCTTCCACCGTGCTTAGGGGATGGTTCAGGTGCTTCTGCAGCTCAGTTGAAGAGCTAGAGATATCTGGATATATGTACGCTCTCGATATCTCGAAGGCTCAAAATCCAGAACCTGGAACAGTATAGTTGCACCTATACTGGGTGACGTTTAGAACCATCTACGCTGATGGAACTGAGGTCACCCACCCGGACTGCAGTACTGCATAATGATAGAATTCCTCTCGCCCGTGCGTGTGTTGAAGAGCCGTCTTGCGATACCACGTAAAGACATCAAGATGGTGGCGGAACGAAGACTGTGCAGTAAGGAGAGGGCAGCGTATGTGGACTATCATCTCATTCACGACCCCGTTCGTTCATCGTCAAGTGACAATTACAATATTGTGCAAACTCCCAGACACAGAAATGATTCAGTCCAGGTCTGAGGTGTCAGCGCTTTATGAAGCGCGCTCGTCAGGTTGGCAGTTGGATATGACAGACAACGTTGAAGGAGACCTGCTGAAGTCGTACAGCAACGACCTATCGCATGTTCAATCAAGTATTCCTCAATGACAATGAGCGCATGAGCAATCAATTAATCAGGCTGCAGCAAGTCCGAGCTGTGTGAAGCGATAGATAGTCTTGTAGCGGTGGCAGATACGATCGATCGATGTTTCCCTCGCTTCCTCTCTGCCGTCATGATCCATTCGATCACACTGCTTATTGAAGTCGCCGAGGAGACTCACGCTCATTCTGTATGGCAACAGACATCGATTGGTCAAGAAAGGCCACACGGCGAAGACAACAGCAAGATAAGTCGGCTGCGACAGCGTCAAGAAAACTAGAGTCCGAAGAACTGTAAGGCGGCGGAAACAGTCGAGTGGGGAGTACGAGAGGAAGAGGGAGAATACGGTGACGACTGCCCGATATTAGGTTAGGCACGACCGCCCTTTCCTCCACCACGACCACCCTTGTCTCCACCCTTGCGCTTACCGTCGTTCCCGTCACTCGACGCTCCGGACTCCTTCGACTCTCCAGGTGACTGTTTCAAGGCGGGACACGCACCCTCTTCGATATGTCGCCTGACCGAATCGCCTCTGCACAAGGGCTCCTTGCAGTGGGGCCAGGGGGGTTTCTCGAGGTCGTCTGGGTCTCTCTTCGGACAACTGCATCTGAAGTGGCGGGAGCTTTCGCTCTGGCGTCCGAATGTCTGATCACAACCGGCTTACAAGCATGGGAACCTTTCTCCCTCGCTCTTAGTGTTGCCAGCCTTTGCCTTGTTCTTCGTGCTGCTTGCCTTCGCCTTACCCTTTGCCTTCGCTGTACGCTTTGCTTTTGGCTTCGTTTTCTGCTTCATCTGTCCAGTGTCCTTTGCCTTTCTCTTCCGGGCTCTCTTCACTGCCTTCTCGTCGTCATCGTCGTCCTCGCCGTCTTCGTCAGCCCTGCGCTTTTGCCCACGCGAGGCATCGGGCATCGTCAAACCATTGTTTTCACAAGGCGAACGAGTCTGGGAACGAGTTGTGCGCCTGTCGAGGAAACGGGCGAAAGGTGGCAAGTTGGCGGCTACTTCAATGCTGACGCCGTCGTCGTCGACGATTGCAGAATCGCCCTCGTTGGATACAAGAGGTGCATTGTCTTCATCTTCTGCGTGGAGAATGGAAGTGTCGTCGTCATACACCTCGTCGTCGTCGCATTCCTCGAGGTCCTCGTTCCCCTCCTCATCCTCGTCATCGAGCAAACTTGTGTATTTCGTTTCAATGTGGTCCTGCTCTGTCCACAACAGACCAGGATCGATTGTACGGGATACAGAATCTCTGCTCCCATACAATGATTGGGTTGTCGAGGGAATGGGGTCACCCTGTGCCCAACCGAGCGTGTAGTCGAGCGCACCCGGGAATCTCGATGGCCCAGCACTGGGCGTGCCGTCTCCCGGGTACGCTGATGCTGTGGATGACTGGTACATGGACAGTGTGATGTCCTGATTAGACGTCAGGATCCCAGGATTACGAAGGGAGGATGGCTGACGTACAACTCCCGCTCCATACTCCTCGACGGTGCCTTCCTCCATTGCGACGCTCATGGATACCTCTTCGTCCACATTGATCAGTGTGTTTTTACCACTCAGTGGCGATGTGGGCGACTCCGCTTCCTCGGTGGTGGACAACCCTTGCATATTACCTGAGTCGTTCATGACGGCGCCCTTATGACGTACAATTCCCATCAACTTAAGCAGTCCCCAGCACGGAATACACACGAACCATTGTGGTGCCGAGGTCCCATGTGTCATTCCCCTCCATGTAGAGCCCAAGCGCGACCTGTGTGTCGCGATCAATAAGCGTGTTGTTGTTCATTTGTGACCTGGTCAGCTCAGCCAAGTTGGCCACTACATCTCGAGGTACCCCCAGCGTGTCGGATACCTCGTGAGGGACTGTCCCATCTGCCTCCCACATGGCGGAGGAGGACTGGTTCTCGGGTGATGAGTGGCTATGGCAGCAGGCCAGTGACACTGGACATACCCAGTTACAGTTGATTTACTTTGCTGGAAATTTTGAATGAAGTTTATCACACTTTGGTAGGCTATGATGAGGAAGCTCCGAAGGGAGGAGAGAGTACGACAGCACTGTTTGTATCGCGTAGGCATCCGGCGCCTTCTGTGCTTCGCCGACCGTCGACTGGCGGGCTAGACAGTTCTTCGCGGCAGAACATCCCCATCAAACAACTTAAAGCCCCCGCTGCACGAGGTGTCCATTCACAGCCGATGGAGGCAGGTAGACAAGCAGGATCATCAATGGCTGAGCATTGTGACTGACGCGGTCTCGTTTATACGAATGCTGAGAATAAAGCAGTAATATTGGACGGATAATGCTAACTGCGGTCTCTACTAAGTATGCGTTGTTTTTTGGTGTCTTTGCTGATGTTTCCTGTTCAGAGAACAATGCGAGATCGCTCTACATTGGCTCCCCACGCCGAAGCGCCCATCAGGCGTGCTTTCTGCACTGCGGTCGCAGCCGATTTTCACCTTGTCTGCTCACTCGTACACACCGTGTCTACAGCACACGCCGCGAGAGGTCTGAGGCAACATACGGCGAGTCAGAATAACCGTCTGCTTCACTTGTTCCCCCGTGCTCGGGTATTCGATCAGTTTTCCTCATAAGCATAAGCATCTCACTGTCAAACAGCTACGTCCAGAAATGGACATCCCCTTCAACCCAGATCTAGTCCTACGGTGCGCTCACGTGAAGTCATATAATTTGATACAACGGTCTACACTCCTATATTGATGCCTGACTCGTAGACGACGAGCGAGGACTTATGGACAGTGCGTCGTCCTGAAGATCGGGCGAGGAAGTCGAGAATGACCACTACCCCAAGCGAAGAGGAGCAGAGACTTGAATGAATAACCAGGTCGAACTTAGGGTTCGACCGACTAATGGTACAACTACTTATACAAGTACCGACTGCGCACGGACCATCGTGTCTATGTGGTCGTGTTAGTGAAGAAAGAAACGTAGTGGTACGATACCAGGCACGAAGTGCGCATGGACCCCATTATGTAAGCTACATAATGTTCAACCTACGGGCGAACGCTAAGACAGGCGCCAGTATGGGCGCTAGTAGTATAAGGAATAGAACGGAAAGACAAATGTTTCATTACCCCCCTACCAGAGTTGAAGTCCCATTCGACTACTTACTGCTCACCATCTCCATACAACTCCCAATCTACGCCGTCGTCCTCCTCTTCATCGAACCACTCCTTGCGCGCGTTCCTCCCTACGTTCATCCATTCCTCGCCAGAGAGGTGCTTCTGATTCGGCCAGGAGCTGTCCCACGTCCATTGAGTGGTGTCGGGTGTCCAGTCGGGGTCGACTCTGCGAAAGACGATGGGTGTATCGGGGCGGGGGCGTGAAGGTCCCGCAACGGGACTGGCCGGGGGTTCGGGGTTAGCGCTACACGGTGGAGGGATGGGTATCACTTTCATCTGCCTTTCTCTCTCCTTCCTCTCCTTCGCCTCGTTGATGATTCCCTCGAGGAACACGTTGTCGACGACCACCCCTACGCGTCGCGCAGGTTCTTCAGGTGGTGCGGATACGTGTCGCTTCATCGGTCTGGTTCCGCACTCCCGCTCCAGGTGTCCAGGGGCTTCTTTTCCGCATCCTGCGCATCGTACGTCCGGACAGTCCCGTACCCAGTGTCGAGACGATCCGCATCGCCTGCAACTTCCCTTCGGGGTCCAACCAGGGTTGGGTTGCCAGTCAGCCGGGATGGTAGTGCTCCGCGGCGTTGCTTGGAGGAAAGGGGATGGGATCGGGGGGCGCCTGAAGGCAGACGTCGGTAGGGGTGCGGGTAGGGGTAGGTATGCGTTGGGGATGGCACGCGGGATGAATTTGTTGTGTCGCGTCCGGATGCTGCGCGGTAGGAGCGGTTGAAAGCGATGGGCAACTTTCAGATTGTCGAGTCAAATGAGCTCGGTGAGGACGCGGTCGTCCTGTTGGCGTAGGAGCCGCTTGTGGTGGTCGATGGCCTCGTCGGCTGCCTTGACAGCCTCGTCGTATTCGCGGCGGGCGGAGAGATACGCCTCTAGTGCAGCGCGGTCGGTGGCATTGGTTGCCTCGGGGTTGTGGGCTTTGAGCTGGTTGAAAACGTCGGTGGGATTACTGAGAAGGAGCGTCAGCAAGGTGCTATCGCCGACGTGGGTGTGCTTAGGGGTGTAGATTGAGAGCCTTTTCCCGCCTTCGGTCGAGGGGGCGTTGAACTGGTCGAGGAACGAGAGGGTGGAAGACATGTTGGTGCGAGTGGGGATGTAGCGACTGGGTAGAGCTGCTATCGATTCAGCTCAAGTCCTTCCTGTTCTTATACTCTGCCAACACTTCGTCAGCCGTCCCAGTCAGGTTCGCTTCGGGTTCCCATGAGTCATCGGCTGTTGAGTAACCCTTCCACCTGATGCGATATTCGCGGCGTCGCATCCTCTTGTTCTCTCGGTGTCCGATGATGGCTTCGACTTCGTAGTTATCTTCGCCTTCGATAAGGTCAGGGGGTGGCCTCGTGTAGTTTGGACCATGGATCTCCGTCTCCGAGTAGGGAGATAGAAGCCATTCGTGGAAAACGGGGTGGACTCGCCAGGTGCTAGGCAAGTCTAGCTTGTACGCAACCGTTCTGATCTTGTTTAGGACTTTGAACGGCCCTTCTCGCCTCGGGGCTAGTTTCCTGGACGGGTACGGCAGCTTCAAGTTCCGGGAGTCTAGCCATACCAGCTGACCTTTACGGAAGGAACCCCCCTTCCTTTTTACTCTCTTGGCCAGGACGTTCTGGGCCATCTCCATTGCCGCATATGCTTCCTCACGGATGTTTTGCAAGTCCTTGAGGCGATAAGCTGCTTGCGGCGTGTTTGATCCGGGGTGCGCGGTGGGTATTCCGCGAGGTTCGTATCCCATCATGAGTTTGAATGGGGACGTCTTCGTCGTGGAATGCTCGCGGGAGTTGTGAGCAAATTGCGCAGTGTGAAGATGGTCAGCCCACTTATCCGGATCATTGGCAGTGAAGCAGCGGAGGTAGATCTCCAGTTCTTGGTTTACTCGTTCTGTCTCGCCGTCGGTTTGCGGATGGAATGCCGTACTCATGGCTGATTGAACCCCAGTCATTTTGCAAAGTTCTTGAAAGACTTTGGACGCAAATTGCGGTCCTCGGTCGCTGATGATCTTGTCTGGGAGTCCAAACCACTTGTAGACCTCTCGGTACATTGCATCTGCCGTCCCAAGAGCGTCAATTGTTTTGTTGCATGGGATGAAAATTACCCCCTTCGTAAGGTCGTGGTCCACTACGACCAGAATTGAAT